CTGAAATTCCTGAAAGGACACCTGACCGTCATGTGACTTAATGCAAACATGCCCAGTCGGCCTGTTGTGTTTTAATACAAAGCCTGGCCTTTAATAGGGGCCACCAGCGTTGTGGATTTCAGTGATTGATGATGTGGTATGGCCTCTCTCAGCTGGGCTCCTGCTCACTAGGGTCAATCGCGATTGAATTACGGCTATAAGCAGAAAGCCAATTAATAAGTGAGGTCTGATGAAGTTGATCCAAAGGACACTGTGAGAGAGTTTTGGGATTACGCTATATTCAATGAGATATTACAAAAGATGTTTTCATTCTGAGGTTACTTTTACCTTATTTATTTTTCTCCACTAAATGGGTATGGCGACTGCGGGCTAACCCTGCACTTTATTTACTTTAAAGGGAGTTTCCTAATGCTAGCCTTCCTAGGTTGTCTTTTCGTGATGCTTTACATTAGTATTCAAGATATCTTTCAGTCTTTCCTTCATTTTCTTTTATTTAACAGCATCTATTGAGAGTACATTTGACAGCGTAGCCACATTTTCATAATTTACTTATTCTTCTTTATTTTGGTGGAGAGAAAGAGAACAAAAGAAATAAGAAAGCACATAAACAAGGGAGCCTACCTGCGAGGTATTTCATATCAAATACTCTGTTTCTTCTCTTGTTTGTCTCTGGGAATATTTTTAAATTCTTAAAAGGCTTGGACAAAGTTGGTTGCAGAGAAAAGAACCCAGGGCATGTTGACGGATGGCCGGCCATGCATATAATCGTTTCCTTACACTCTGTGAGTTTGCTTTGGACGGGGCGAATTACCATCTGAAAATGAGCTGAGAAACACTGTAGGCGAGAGCCCTGCGTCATCAGTGTCAGCTTACTTACAGCGTCTCTTACCCATGATACAGACACACACACTCGCAAACATGCACACACACACACACACTAGTGTGGACCAATATTACTAATGTCATCTTAACCCACATTTTACACACAGGGCATATTTGTCACCCAACCAAGCGTAGGGGTGCACCTCAAAAAACAAAGCTCACATAAAGGGGCTATATGCAATAATCATTATGTATTAATCACTTTGTGTTGCCTGTGTCTCAACACTAAAAGGCTCTTTGAAAAGCCTGTAGAGTGACTTTTTGCAAAGAATATCCAAAAGATATGACGTTTATGCATTAGTATTAGTAAAACTGACAATGTTATGTTCAACATTACATACTACTAATAATAAATAAATAATAATAATATTTTTGTGTATTGAACATGAGCTATTTGTTAGGGCTATGCGATTAATCGAAATTGAATTGCAATTTGAAACGTTGTGATTAGCTAATCGCTAGAGGCTGCAATATGAAATATATATGTATTATATAATATAATATATCCATAATCCCCCCAAAGCAAATGCGTGACTGCTGTCTGTGTGTGACAGTCTTACTAGCCAACTGAGTGAGCACACTTTCGTTCTGCCCAATCAGAATTGCGAATCTGAACTATGCGGAAAGCCCACAATAAAACAAACAGGAAAGTGTGGAAAAGTGGGATGATGGCGTCTGCCGCTTCAGTAGCATTAATAGATTAATTAATAACAAAGAAGAACAGCAAGTCGGTAATTTCGGGATATTTTGGTATTGCCACAGTATGAGGAAATACAACAATCAGCACCTAAAAAAGCACCACAGATGGCTATATAAAGAGTGTCTTGCTAAAAAGTCGACTGAAAGTATTGCCAATGACACTTAATCTAGTAGCTAGCAACAGCAAAGTACAATTTTAGAGTTGTTTGCAGCTGTTACACCATATAAAAAACATCACAAAGGCACCAGGAGATAAAAATCACTAACGCCAAATGCCAAAACTCACTACTTTTTGCTCCAGAGAAAAATGAGTGTTTAATTTCTGAATATTTATAAACAAATTTCAATAAAAATTGGAGTTACTATCTTTTCAGTTCCTTTTTAACTAACACTCAAGCTACGATACAGCTAGACTGCAAAATTAAATTGCAAATCAAATCGATATCGCAATATCTGTAAAAAAAAAGGCAGTTAGATATTTTTCCCAACTTGCACAGCCTTACTATTTGTGCACAAGTAGAAGCAGGAGCAACACATTTCTGGCAGCTCTTCACTTAATAGACCTTAAAAATCATAGACCTTAAATCATTGACTTTTGCTATCTTTATTAGTTTCAAAAACACAGATTTCTTAACATTTAAAATGCAATCTTTGGATATCTTTTCTGCTGGACATACTGTTGTCCTAAAAAACTAAATAAATAAATAAATCTTACACACCTTAGAAATGGTATTACAGAAACTTTTGGCGATTTTGAAAACACTGACTTTTCCAAAAAGCCTTAAAAATATCCCTTGAAAATGGTTATCATCTCATGCCTAGCCTATACAAAAATAGTTTACTAAAGATACTCAACTGTTAAATTCACCCCACAGCTCTGCGTAATTTAGGGCATCAAACATTTTCAATCAATACAGTGCTTTTAAATTTAGTTTGCATCTCTAAAACAAAATTGCAAGTACTTTCCCCGTAGAAAGAAAAGAGAGAAAGAGACATGTTATCAATATAGGTGCATTTCAGAAAGATACAACAAAGCACATGCAGCTGTTTTAGTGATGACAAACACAGAAACGTGACCTTAGTGGTGTGCGTTGCTCCGGTTCCTCTAAATGATGAAAAACTAACTTGAAAACACAAAGCGGCTGAATGTTGCATTAAAAATCTTGATTTTGTCAAGCAATGATCTACTGACTAATGCAAAAAAAAAAAAAAAAAAAAAAGCATCTGAGGGATAATGGAAAACATGCCTCACTCAGACCTGGAGATAAACATTTTGGATTTACTGATCAAAAGTACAAAGAGAAGATAAAAAGTTATGGACTGCAACAATATTAAATAGAAAGATGTTTTGTTAATACGTGACATGACACATTTATGATGGGGCAAACACATATCATGGAACATACGATTCAGATCTAAATGACTAATAGGTCAAATAAACTGATCTGCAGCAAATTAAATTTACTGAAAATATTTTAGATAAATACATTCATCCTTATTGGCTTAATCCCTTTATTAATCTGTGGTTGCCACAGCACAATGAACCATCAACTTTTCCAGCATATGTTTTACGCAGCAGATGCCCTTTAAGCTGCAACCCATCACTGGAAAACATACATATACACTCATTCACACACATACACTACAGTCAACCTAGCTTACCCAATTCACCTATAGCGCATGTCTTTGGACTTGTGAGGGAAACAGGAGTACCCAGAATTATATAAATATATATTCCAAGGAAAATAAAAAAGCAAGTCTATTAATGTTTCAAATAACTTTTGTGAAAATAAAATGGGTAAAATAATGTTTCATTGTCTTTTAGCCTAACATATACTTTTGTAAATTTGAAGAAAAAAAAAATCTAGCCTGCACACAGCAGTATGTACTGTATAGAAGATTCATTCAAAATATATAAAAATAATAATATTGAATTTGAATATATGTTAAATATATTAACTATTATTAGTCGCAAAGTCTAAACATTTTAATTGACAAATAACTAGTGTTTTGGGGCACCACTGAATAGACTTTTAAATAGACTTTTAACATATCAAAAATTGACTCTAGTAATAAATATTCCAGACGAGATTGTTTAGGTATATGAATGAAAAATACATTAAGCACATCTATGTATACTGGATAGTACATTACATAAAATGCTTTCAAAAATATTCAATCAATATTCAAATATAAATAATTGATATTAATATATTTGCATGTGGACAAACTGATCTCTTAAAACTACGACAATTATCAATTCTGCAACTGATCCGCAACTGATTTCTAATTCACTAGCAACATGCGCATCAAAACAACAAAGTCTGCTTTACAGCTAAGGGAGGATGTAAAATGGAATGCACTACATGCTTACAGTCTCTCTAATCTTGAAACCAGCACACATAAGCCAAACCAAGAATGCCTTGAATCAAAATGAATTACCAATATTGTTCCACTCGTTTCGGATCCTGCTTGCTGTTCATTAGGAATCTAATAAGAAGCAGGCCCCTCCGTGGAGTCGCTTCTAGCCGACTTATTCTTGACATTGCTTTGGAACAGGGCTATGAAAAAAGCACCACCCATGCTTGCTGATCCAAGACGACAGTTCGAGAGGCAAATTCTGAAGCCAATCTGGACTGCACGAGTCAAAAACGACGAACACAACACGGAGAGATTTTAAAGCTGTAGGGTTAAAATAAGAGCAAATAAGCAGACCCTAAATAAAAGGAAAAGCATGTCTGAATGCAGTGCATTTAAAATATTTGCTTTCAGCTGGTTATGTCCTCCAATCATTCAGGATTAGATTTTTAAATAGCAAAAATATGCAGTCATAGTAACTAATTAAAAAACAATACATAATTAATGGATTCAGAATGAATTGTAAGTTAGCAGCTCAAACTGCATGTATCCACATGAGCAAAAGAAACAAATACAACTACGTTCTGTTTTTGGAAATGAGGTGAATTTTAATAACCTGTCCAATAAAACTCTATTTGAATATCAGTTTGATTTGCTTGCCATTTGCTGCAGATGAAACGCCCCGAGTAAAAAAAAATCCTCCCTAATTTTGATACTACATCATGGCCTGCTCCAAAAATCAAACACAAATATCTACAGTCAAACAGACTACGGCACAAAGAAATCGCTTCCTGTCCCAATGGGCATGTTGTGTATGTGTGTGCATGTTCGCCCGAGCACAAGCACGTATCTGTAGCCGGAGCGTGTCAAGTGATCCACACAGGATATTAAAGCTGTCTATTCTAATCACTTTCTTACACAACTTTGCCCACTCGCCATTAACCACGCTTGCATACGCGATCAGCTTTTGGGGGCGGATTAAGAGTGAACTCGCAAGCGAATTTTTTAATCAGTGGAGGAGTGATCCCTGGAAGGCTGTGGTGAGGGATGTAAGGACAGACCTTGTGACATCGGGAAAGCGAATGGGGAAGTGGAGGACGTGACACTTGGGACGGATGAGCCGCTCCAGATCTTTGGGCCGATGGTCAGGCATGGTCTTCATGAAGGTGGAGATGGACGAGAGAAAGGATTCCATGTTAAACGAGGAGTTGAACACCACCACATCCGCAACCAGGCTGTGGGAAAAAAAAGTCCTTTTAGATGATCAAAGAAGAAAAATTGGTTAGCACTGTTGCAAAAGGTCGCTGGTTCGAGTCCCAGTTAGGTCAGTTGGCATTTCTGTGTGGAGTTTGCATGTTCTCCCAATGTTTGCATAGGTTTCCACCAGGTGCTCCAGTTTCCCCTACAGTCCAAAGACATGCGGTATTGACCTTATTCTTTACATATAAAGTTTCATTAACTTCTATTAATTTTTAGACATTAAAAACAGCATGCTATGCTGCTTGATGTTGCAAACTGATTTTTTCTTATTATATTATTCTGCTTTGTCTGTAGTCATGAACACACTTGTTTGTAGAGCAAGTAGTTTGACCGTTTTCTGGCATTTATTATTTCTAGTCATTTCTCCTATAGGCAACTCAATGAGCAGTTGTAAAACAATCGAAAAAATTTGTGCACTTCTGCATTGAAAAATAAGGTCATTAAGTGAAATTGATACACTAAATTGGCCATAGTGTATGAGTGTGTGAATTTGAGAGAGTACGAGTGTTTTCTAGTACTGGGTTGTGGCTGGAAGGGTATACACAGCATTAAAAAAAGAAATGCTGGAATATTTGGCGGTTCATTCCTCTGTGGCGACTCCTGATAAATAAGGGACTAAGCTACAGAAAAATGAATGAATGCTTCAATCCAAAGATGTGAATAAGATTTTTGCGCTAAACAGAAATATTGAAATATAAAACATTCAATGAGTTTTCATTCAGTGAGTCAAACAGAACAAATTAGGCACTGCCTAAGAAACTGGCAGCAAATATCAAAAAGAAAACTGGGATTAGCTGGAAAAGCCATTGTGGGCCTTTTTTTTATTATATAATAAATTACTAGAGTCTTAGAAAACGAAACTGGATGAACATGTTGGCTTTTGGAGGCGCAAGACTGCTCTTTGGGAGTTGAGGTAATAATACCAAAACACTTTGATGACAGACTTTGGCTAAGGGATTTCAGAATGATCAAAACAACATTTCAGATATTTTAACAATGTGGCCGGTCTGGTGTTTTGTTCTTTAATGCTGTCCCATCCTGTCTATTTTTATCATCAAAAGATCTGTTAAAGCAAAATCACATGATTTTGTTGATGCAAGTTGAATTTTATTTAGTTGTTTCCATTGTTGTTTTATACAAATTGTTCGTTATTAAATAAAAGTTAATCCTATACTCAATTGTGAGCATATTTTTATGCACAGTTTTAAAATGTATGCGCATCTTGGTGTTTCCATTAAGCATTATTGTTAATGACAAACAAAGCCACAAAAAACCAAACCATCACAACAATGCTGCTTAATTCATTATTAGCGTATGTTTTGAAAAGCAAACTTGTACATGCAATAACTTGCTTTGCAGACGTCAACAGTATTTAGTCACTTTAAATATCTAATACATGTTGATTAGAATCCGCATACACAAACACACTATGTTTTTTAAATGGCACGCTGATTAACCCCAATTGCCAGAATCAATCACTGCACTGCACTCAATTAGAGAGTGAATTAGAAGAGCCGGGTTCTTTTTTGTGTCACTGTTCTGCCACGTTAATAAAGTTGAGCAAGCAAAGGGCCTTTGAATTATTGACATGATACTCTGACAGACAACAATCACAATGTATTCCAATTAGAGCTCTTAAAACCCTTTCTTTCAAGCATCAAGATTGATTATGACATTAGGCTTTAAAACATTGAGTTCTTAAGAATTACAGCACCATTATACGATCCCATAATTAACCAATCACATCATGCCAAGTAACGCGCATGATAAAGTATTCTGTCTCAGACACACTGTCTCTCTTGTGAATTAAAATCCAGTCTGGCACAGAAATGGTGCTTGCTATGCACAGACTGTACTGACATATTGCCATACATTAAGGTGAACTTGGGGAAAACTTGGGAAGGTTCAACTTTATGAGAAAAACTATTTTATACATTTCATTTTCTTTAGATTTTTGTATGTTTAAGGATTTCAAGCTTACTTTAAATAACAAAAAATAGTCAGTTTTTGTATGTTTTATATTGAGTCTCATTCACTAATAGTTGCATGTTTTCCCCACATAAGTTTTCACACAAGTTGTTCTTGAACTTGTACATAAAAATTGGGCCTCTAATTACACTAAATTATTGATTTTAAATGTCTATAATTTTATTTATTATATGTAGGCTTCTTTATATAAATGTTTATAAGGCCTTGGACCTATATGGTTATTGTGTATGCGTGGTAAGTTGCTCTTTACTTATTCGTATATTTACTGTAGTATAATTTCAGTGCAAACTTGTTTGATTATCTATGATTTATTCATAACTGACTATTAGAAACTTTGCAAGTACATGTCAACTTACACCCACCCCAACCCTAACTCTAACCCTAACCTAAAAGTCTACTTATAATCTAATGAGAATTAGCTGGTATGTAGATGCAATGTAACTTAAATTCAACAAACAGACCATCAAAATAAAGTGTGACCAACAATGTGTGCATATGCATTGTTTTGTGATTGAGATCCACTCAACATTTTAATGTAATATTGGGTCAAATGCTTCGAGTTCAACTACTGCCATTTTACTGACATTATAAGTACAGTAACCATAAAGGAGTACACCCCTTTTTATAATTAAGAATTTAGTAAATTTCTCAATGTATATTGCTGCATATTTGCAAACTGCTGTGATATTATTCAGTTATTTTTATTAACAAAAGAGTGTGGTCAGAAAAGAAAGAAGATAAGAAAGGAAGATAAGAAAACTATTACAATTACATGTAAAATCGGGAGTTGCAAAAATAATCAGCATAAAAATTATGTTCTTTTTCTATTCTACTTTTGAGTAGAAAGGTGAAATTTAAATGACTAACTAACAACTGTGTAATATATAGCACTTTCAATACATCTGGTTACACTAACATATGTTCATCTTTCACAGGTAAAGAAGATATGCTGTTACCATGAGAGGATCTGGTTGTAGCCATATTGGAAATCTCTTTCTTGGCTTTTGCGGACTGGATAGACCAGCTGGTTCTCATGGAAGTAGAGAACCTTCTTAAGATGGCCAAGATCAGGACGAAGAGCTACAAGCTCGGCTAGATTGAGAACGGAGCTGGTGAACAAAACCCTGTAAAACAAAGCAAAAAAGAAAGAGAAAATAAGGAACCATTAGTTCACTGCCTTAGATGGCATCCTCTGAATATCAATGCTTTCCTTCAGCCCAAATAATTGATTTTTTTTGTTTTACGTTTTTTTTTTAATTTATTTTAGTTTTTTACAATGTGCAACCCATTACTTTATACTTAAATTTAATTATAAATATAATTGATTAAAAATATATATAAAATTTTAATTTAATTTGATCACCAAAAATTATAATATTTTCAACCTGAAGATATTTTAAAATGTAAATGCATTACTGCAGCAATCAGTCACAAAATCCTTCAAGAAATCATAATAAGCTCAGGAAAAATTTCTCATTATTATTTATTATCACTGAATACAGTTGTGGTACTCAACAATTTTGTAGAAAAAGTTTCCCCCTATTATTATATGATGAATAGAATGTTCAAAAGACCCTTTAATAAATGTATATATACACATACACACATATATAAGTTAAATACATAATATATATTAATTGATAGAAAGCTCAGGCATAACTGAGGATGCCTGTGACAGAGGTCTCAATTGAAATCTTAGATCTGCAAATGAAAAAAATACTTTATCTGAAACACAAGAGGACACAGAAATGTCTGTTCACTCCACACTGAGAGAAACATCATTGAGGTTAATGAAGACTCCTTTAAGATGTTATATACACAAGTAGAGGACCATTGAAGATTTTACCCTTGTATGTGCTAAGAGCCATGGGACAAGAGCTTTGAAGTTCAGTTCTGGTCTCCCTAAATGAACCCACCCCCCTCTTCTAAGCCCCCACCGCCTGTCAGTCTAACCCTGCAGCCGCTCGCCAGTCTCTTTGATGTGTGGAGCCCGCGGCCGCGCCACCGTGACTCTGCCGCTGTCAGAAGTGTCCCTTTTATGCTAATCTACAACCAGCTCCCCCTAACTAATTCTTAATCTTAACTATACGAAAAACCAATCACACTGCTTTAAGATCAGCGTGAAGGGGCAACTTTTTACCACCCCGTGCCCCCGTAACTGTGCGACAGGATTACGTCTCCATTCCTCAACTCCATCAGGACGCTCAAATCCTCGCTCGCACACAACGCTGAAATCAAACCAGATGATGGAAGTGACTATTTTTAGTCTTGCTTTCCTGCATGTGGAGAGCATCCAATACTAATGAAACAGGAAAGGCTTTACTTCGGGTCCCTTTGAACTGGAGGTGAGGACAGACACGCGAGTCTGGTGCATCTTTTTAGGTCAGTCCGGTTGATGTGGTTGATGAGGAAAACAGGCAGATGGTAAACGGTGCTGGTCGTATAAACCGAAATGAGCATTTTTCTTGGCCCACCAAAGGCTGAAAATGAAATCTGACTCAAATGGAAAGTACTTTATGCGAAATTTGCGTACTCGATAGATAAAAATCACGTCCAAGGTGTATCTTTCACAGCAGCCATTGATGGTCTTTCATTGAACTGTGATGTGGCAGTAACTGTCGCCTACAGAATTTTTTCAGAATAGATGAGTGTGTATGGATGTTTCCCAGAGATGAGTTGCAGCTGGCAGGGCATCCGCTGTGTAAAAAATGTGCTAGATAAGTTGTCGGTTCATTCTGCTGTGAGGACCCCGGAATAATAAAGGAACTAAGCCGAAAAAAAATAAATGAATGAATGAATGAATGAATAAATGAATAAATGAATGAATGAATAAATGTATATATGATATACACACACACACACACACACGCACACGCACACGCACACACACACACACACACACACACACGCACGCATGCATGCATGCATGCATGCATACGGTCAACATTTGAAGTGGAACTAAGACAAAAATATGTGTTGCAGAATAGTTTTAAAACAACATTGATGAAAGATGATGATACACTTCAAAATGTTGTATATTTAAACTACATACAGTGCTCAGCAAAATTGAGGACACCCAATTTTCAAAATGAAATTTATTCATTTCTCAGTGACTAGAGGTAGTGTATGTTAGTGCATTTAAACAAAACAGATTTATTAAACAGATATATGATATATTTATCAACATAATATTTTAGTCACCAAACGTATTTAGAAATTAAGATTATATAATTAAATTCAAGCAAAATATGAAAACAATTTACAACTCACAAAATTGTAATTTTTACTATTTTTTTGCTTCTCTTGATATTTCCTCTTTTTCAAATATGTATTTATTATTTTTCTATAAAATATAAATTTAGGTGTCCTAGTTTTTGTACCGGTTATCGGAAGTTATTTAAGCTCCAGATCTGGCTTTAGTACTGACTAATCTAATGTATATGCACAAATATAATATTGTACAGCTTCCTATTAAAAATGTGAATTTAAAAGATAGATTTGTGAGGGGTGTACTTATATATGCTGAGCAATGTAAAACACTGTTTATACAGTTGAAACCAGAGATTTTCATACACTGTATAAAAAGGCACATAACCAATAAAAAAAAAAGTCAGATGTTAATGTGACTAAACTTTTTTTCTTTAAGGTAAGTTAGGATTAACAAATTTGTTTCTATTAAGCTTAATAGCAGAATAACGAAGGAGCTATTTCTTGAGAAATTGTTATACCTTTTCTTGAAAATCAAGTTTACATAAAACAAAATTATTACGCCTCTAAAAAAGCTCAGATGATGGTGTCAAGGTTTTGGAAGTTTCTGATTGGCTAATTTACAACATTTGAGTTAATTGGAGGCACGACTATAGAATAGTATTAAACTTTTGACTGTCTAGAAATTAATACAAAATCCTCTAAAAAAATTTATTTAGCATTTAGCAAATGTAAATTATTTAGGTAATCCTAACGAACCTAAAATAGTAAACATTTACTATGATTTACCATCAGACATTTTTTTTTAAATGGTTATGTTACTTTTTTTAGAGTGTATGTAAACTTCTGGTTTCAACTGTATGCATATTTATACCAATCAGAAACTAAGAATATTTTACATTGATCTATTCTCATTCTCTGCAAATAAATGCTTAAAAATATGTAATGCTTATTTCAGGGTTCCCACTCTAACCTCAGTGTCAAATTTCATGACCTTTTCCTGATTTTCACAGACTAAAAAGCTAAATTTGCTTGACCCATCCACCTTATTTTTCACCAAAGAGTGAGGCGGGCATTGTAACTTTGTGTCAGGATCTCTGGTGTCATTCACTTCCATTCATTATTAGCAAAACAAAAAATTTACTTCTTTATGCTGTAAAAACAATCATATTGTTTTAATATGTTTGATTGTCGGTTGAAAAGCCAGAGAAGATGACAAATGTACTATAAGTACAACAATGTAAAACAACACGATAAAAAAAAAAAAAAAAAAACAGAATTAAAAATACATTCTAATAAATGGAAAGAATGAACTTGAAAAATTTACAGTTAAAGTCAGAATTATTAGCCCCCCTTTGATTTTTTTTTCTTTAAATATTTCCCAAATTATGTTTAACAGAGCAAGGACATTTTCACAGTTTGTCTAATAATACTTTTTCTTCTGGATAACGTCTTGTTTTGTTTTTTTTCAGCTAGAATAAAATCAGTTAAAAATTTTAAAACCATTTTAAGGTCAAAATTAATAGCCCCTTTAAGCTATATATCTTTCGATAGTCTACAGAACAAACCATCGTTATACAATACCTTGCCTAAATACCGTAACCTGCCTAGTTAACCGAGTTAAGAGTTTAAATGTCACTTTAAGCTTTTAAAACTATTATGTTTATAAGTGTGTTGAAAAAAATTTTCTCTCTGTTAAACATAATTGGGGAAAAAATATACAGGGGGGCTAATAATTCTGACTTCAACTGTATATATAACATTCCCTCACTTATAATGTCTGGAATAGATCTTTTAAACTCCCATGATATTCCAGAATTCCAGAATTTATCATTTAAAAATGTGAAAACATTAATTCAGTAAGTCATAAAAATAAAACACAAATGTTACATTTTGACAAATCCAGAGTACCAGTGAGACATTGAAGGTGGTCAGATTCAAAGTGCGCAAAGTTTTTTTTTAACAAACAAACTGATCAAATTAATTTGTCAAAAGCTGAAAACAAAATCTGACTCAAATGGAAAGTACTTCATCTGAAATTTGTGGACTTGATAGATTGCGTCCAAGGTGTGCAAACACTCTTTCACAGGAGCCATTGATGGCTTTCATTAAACTGTGACGTGGCAGTTACTGTCGCCCACAGACTTTTTCCAGCACTAACTTATTAACCGTAACCAAACCAGACGTTTTGGCTGTATGAGAACCTGTAAGATAAGAGACACAGTGGGTGGGCAAATGGCTCTGTGCTGAGTCAGGTTTGTAAGTGCATCATCAAAGGTGCAGATCTGGAAGAGCAAATGTTGCTCTTGGCTCGCTGTAACTTTAATATTATTACATGTATGCTTTGCAGGCATGAATGAAGTAGGAGATGAACCGTTTCACCCATAACTATTCACTGAAATGTAGCCCATTCTAATGTTTTCACAACAGTGGCTCATCTCAAGAGGGAAAGCTGCAAACGGCCTAACAGGTTTTGAAAGAGCATCCAGGTCGCTGACACGTGAAGGGTTATGACTGTGCATATTTGATAGCAGGCTTTAGGAATGAAGCACATGTTTTGTCTTTTGCTTAAGTTCGAGTGCAGCAAGAGATTGCTGCTGAAGGAATGCTCAGGGCTTCCCCCACCCACCTGCGGTTTCTCTGTCCCTTAAAAGGAAGCAAGAAAGTCCCCATCTGATCCTAGTCTCTAAACGTGTTTGTGTCCTTGTTTATGCTGTTTTAAAATGTCTATTTTAAAACGACAAACAGTTCTTCTCAGGAAAACAGTGTGTGAACTATATCTCTGGGGAGTTCACTTTATGTAATGGAAAACTTAATTTCTGATTCTAGTTACACTTTATGAAAAGGTTTGATTGCTAGAGGTAGTTAAAACATTAGGTGTCATGACCTATTGATGAACAATACAGAATATCTATATTTATCAATATATTTATCATTTCTACATGCAACATTTTTTCACTTTTTTAATTGTATAAATCAATTTTATTATGATTTTTCAGTGTATGGTGTTGGATGATAACAATTAAAACCTTATAAAGCATTAGTCTTGTTCTCAGGACAAGACAGTTAGAAGACAGTATAGACAGTTATAAATATACTACTTATCTGTGACTTAGTGAGGGTTCATTTTCATTTACATCATCTCTTTAATCTTGAGGTGTTTATTTGTCTTCATTTTTGACTACCTAGTATTAGGTGAGAACACCCGAGTGTAAGTTCAAACCATATAACACTGCTGCTAAGTGTGATATGTTTGTAAACATAAAAATAAGTGATGACTTTAGTCATTAGACAAATCGACATTAGACTACTGATTTCAGTAAAAAGGAGACAAAAAGATTTTAATGTACAATACCAGTTTAACAATGATTTTGATTTTATGAATTTACATTTTTTTATAAAGTTTATTTGTTCATATTTGATATGCAAATGTTTCTCCTGCAAGTTCTGCAATACACTATGCCACTATGTAGCAACAAAGTTCTTCAGTGATGCTAAGCAGTAATAAGGAAACCACATTTATATGGCTTTAAAGTATGGTGAATGATGAGTGTTCGACATCTGAATTGATTAGACTTAATAAATAAATAAGGTCATGGAAATATGTAAACTAGTTTTCTTTGATCTAGTAAATGATCAGTAAGATTTGTTTGCAAACAACAACGGCAGTAGAAAAGTATTATATAATAATTCTATATTAAGAATTATACTTATTTACACACACACACACAGACAGACACAAGAAGTACTGGTGGTTAAAAAAGTAAAAAAAATGTTTTGAAAGAAGTCTCTTTGTTCTTTTTTATTTGACTAAAATATAATAAAAATGTGTTGTTTAGATTTATATTAACAGATTTTTTAAATCTGAAATATACAAAATACAAAAATATAATTTTGTCTTGTGGTTCAAATTAATTTTCTTCAGTGTCACATGACCCTCCAGAAATCCTTTTAATATGCAGATTTTCTGCTCTATTGTGGTTAAATATAACTGGTGTTCAGTCGTTAATAAGAGTTCAAATTGTTGTCATTACTGAACAATTATGAATAAATTATAAAAAAAAACATTGCATGTTTTCAGATTTTACCGTGTGAAGAATGCAAGCGCACACACACACACACACACACACACAAACACACACATTATGTATGAAGAGTTCAGATGCAAAACCCTCTAAATCCATCAAACCTCTATTCTTGTAAATGAGCATTTTCTTTACACACACACACACACACACACACACACACACACACACACACACACACACACACACACACACACACACACACACACATATATATATATATATATATAGTCTGAAAACATGATGATTTTGAAGACATTATCAGTAATTTGTTGAAATAAAACATAAATGAGCAAATTAATGCAAATCCAGAGAACCAATGATAAACCTGAAGTTAAATTCAAAGTGCAAAAATCAACAAACAAAAAAATTATACAATTCCTTTATTGCACAAAATCAGTGTGGTGATTTTTGCCGACCTGTATGAGGAATTTGCTGGAACTGCTTGCATGAAGTACAGAGCAGAGGTTCTGGCTCTCCAGTGCCATTTTTTCGCAGGCAGAGTGAAGCTCACACAGTCTTCAACACTTTCCTTGAGAAGATCAAGCAGCTGTTTGTGGGAGCCGCCATAGAACGCCTCCAGCAAGAGCACACTCATGGACGCAGGCTATTTACTGCAGAGATCAAAACAACAGAAAAGATCAATCAGAGAAACAAACAAAACACCACTTGTCAATGACTCACATAAAATAGAAGGCCAAGAACAACAATTATAGCAAAAACGATATTTTAATAACCTATGATTAATAACCACATATTGGAGAAAGGGTTAATAATAATCGTACTGGCAGAATTCACCCACGTACAGTACTTTCCGAATCACATAGAATTTCATGGTGTATGTGTCACAGTTCAGTCATAGCTGGAGCGAGTAAAGCATAATGCACAAAAGTTAAATAAAAATAAAACACTTCAGCTGATCAATAGGAAATTGACCACTCACTTAGTTTAATTTTGTTGTTTTGACAGCTAAATTCAATTTCAGGACGAAAGCAGTCAATAAATCATGACAATGTTTGTTTTTTATGTTACTTTTAAGTTTAAATAAATTCACCATGTTCCAACTAAAATATACAGTGCTAAGCTTATAAAAATACACCCCTCACAAATCTTTTAAATTCATATTTTTAATAGGGAAGCTATACAATATTATATTTGTGCATATGCATTAGATCAGTCAGAACTGAAGCTATATGTGGAGCTTATCTAACTAAAAAACTTAATATAACAGTCCAAAAACTAGTACACCCGAATTTATGTTAAAGAAAAATATTAAATACAGATTTGTAAAAGAGGAAAAATCAAGAAAAGCAAAAAAGTAGAAAAATTCGGTTAAAATTTTTTAGGTTGTAATTTTTTTTTCAACATTTTGCTTGAATCAAATTGTATTATCTTTCAATATTTAAATATGTTTGGTGACTAAAATAATATTTTAATAAATTAATCTGTTTTATTAATCTGTTTTGTTTAAATGTACCAAAATACATCGCCTATGTTCACTGAAAATTTGGATAAAAAGATTCATTCTTGAAATGGGGTGTACTCAATTATGCTGAGCTCTGTACATTCTCAAGATATATTTAAGGCATTTTAACTTTTTTTTTTACTTTGAAATGATTTATGAAGTTAATTTGAATTAACTCAGCAAGTCCAGTACTAAATTTAAGGCCTTTTAATAAAGTGTACTATTTTAGTAGTTAAGATTGTTTTTTTAAGTAAAAATGCTAAACTATGATTTCCAGAAAAAGTACAGTCTATAACACAAAACAAACAAATCATGTAGCTGTAAATGTAGACTACCACCAATTAAATGTAGGCCATAATTTAATTCAATTGAATTCATGTTTATTTATATAGCGCTTTTACAATGTAGATTGTGTCAAAACAGCTTAACACAGAACAGGGGTGCCCAAACTTTTTCTTATATAGGGCCAAGAACCAAACTTGATAGAGGGATGTGGGCCAAATATATACCAAACCGAATATGAATATATATTCGAATATATATTATAAACATTAAATTTGCCATGGGTTATTTACTAACTTATTCGCTAATATTTAAAAATAACCTGAAAACTTTACATTATATTAGCTAATGCTGTATAATTTTCAACATTTTACAATGAACTTATTATTACAGTAAAAACATTAACAATCTCAAATTGAGTTCTGCTGAAAACACTAGTCATAGCGTTACCAAGTCCAAGTATTAGTGAAAACACCTGCACAGCAATAAAACAAAGAAAAAAGAGATTATGTTCAAATTAAAATAACGATCTCTGTCAAAGGCATTCACCCCAACCACATCCCCATCATTCTCCCACTCATTTCAGATAGGATGGTGGGCCAAATGAAAGGTTAACTTTGGCCCACAGGCCCACCTCTTACATAGAAGTAATATTAAAAAAAAAAAATATATATATATATATATATATATATATATATATATATATATATATATATATATATATATATATTATATATATAACAATTAAAAGCTGTTCCTCAAGTAGCATCTAGAATTTAAACATATTTTTTTTGTGAATTAGAAAACAAAAATAGAGATTTCACATTTTTACACAACCTTGTCAGTCATCTTTTTACATTATATTGAAACACTGGTGTCACATTTTCCAACTGTTGTATAAATCAGGGTGTTTTTCTATGACAGTGAGTCATTCATTCAGAAACCCCTTGTTTACGAGACAAATAAATATAGCTTATTGGTGAATTGCCGTCTCAGTTATGCATAAGATTCAATATGGTTAGCAAAGCTACTTTTCCTTTACATACACGTACTTAGCTTATAAGTTCATTTTAAGCTTGAAACTCGACAATTTACAGTTTCAAAATAGCTTCCTGAACACAAAATCAATTTAACAAGCAGCAAGCTGATGCTGGGAGACGAAGTTTAGCTTCAAAGTTGAATGAAGGTGGTCTCTTATGCTGCATTGGTTGTGCTTTCTAAAAACAAATGCATGATAAAACCCCGCACTTCATAGCAAGGCAGAACTGTAAAACCAAATCAAAAAGGTGCAACAGGGAACTGGAAAGCTAACAACTTAAGTAGGTTTAAACATCTAACCTTGAAATGCTGGGGTTTTCCAATCGCTCGGATACACTGAGTGGGATTTTTTCACAGTGATTTACCTCTTACCCTTATACCTCAGAGCCTGCATTTCACACAGGTAAGGCGTGAAAAGCAATCGACCTCAAGATGGAGAGGAAAGTGAGGGGTTACTGTTGCTGCAATCAGCCCCCTACACAGTTATTGCGAAAGGGAAACCCCACGATGCCCGAACCCACAACCAGAGGCAGTACTATTAACACTGTCAATGCTGAGTCATTGCTCAACTGCATTCAAAGGCTGGCTTGTGTAAGCATTAACTCCTGTGAATCAGTCTAACACCATATTAACACCATGACAGAGGATGCACTTCAGTTTTGACTGATTAGGAGAAAACACCTTTGAACGTGTGTGAAAAATGCCATTTACATGCTTTTATAAAAAAATAATAATAATAATAAATAAAAACTGTTAACCTTTGCAAAGTCATGATTAAAATGGCACTATTTATTTAAATTACTCAACTTGCATTACTCATCTAACAGTGGAGGTAGATTAAAGGGATAGTTTATACCAAAATTATTCTCTGTCATTATTTGCTCACCCGTTCAAAACCTATTTGAGATTCTTTCTTTCATTAAAGACAAAAAAAAAGTCATTTAGAAAGATGCTGGCTGATGGTTAGCTGCGTCTTATTTCAGAGGGTGCATCCTCCGAAGGATACAAACTTCAAAGATCAGTCCTTCGAAGTTCAAACAAGCTGAATCGAGCATTTTGAAATGAGATGATCCAGCCTACAGAGGACAGATCTCATCACCTAGGAACCGTAACAGCTGCCGTTAATAAGCGGTTCTACAATTTGTTATGACTTTTTTTTAAGTGATTTAAAAACTTTTTTTAAGCAATTCGAATGCAAAACAAGGTTTACAAAAACTGGAAATATATTTCCTTTAATCCATACATGTACACATAAAAATGTAAAGTGTCTATAAAATCACTCTTAAGACATTTCATACTCATTCATTCATTCATTTTCTTGTCGGCTTAGTCCCTTTATTAATCCGGAGTTGCCACAGCGGAATGAACCGCAAACTTATCCAGCAAGTTTTTACGCAGCGGATGCCCTTCCAGCCGCAACCCATCTCTGGGAAACATCCACACACACATTCACACACCCACACTAATACACTACGAACAATTTAGCCTACCCAATTCACCTGTACCGCATGTCTTTGGACTGTGGGGAAAACCGGAGCACCCGGAGGAAACCCACGCGAAGGCAGGGAGAACATGCAAACTCCACACAGAAACGCCAACTGAGCCGAGGTTCGAACCAGCGACCCAGCGACCTTCTTGCTGTGAGGCAACAGCACCATCTACTGCGCCACTGCCTCGCCACATTTCATACTATTTTTGTTTTATTAATGCATTTAGACATCAAAGTAAAATAAAACCTAATTAATACATAAAAAAGTAATCCTGAGTTTACTTTTAAAGAGCCCCTACTATGGGTTTTTGAAAATGACCTTTCATGCAGTGTTTAACGCAGCACTAAGTGAATAAAAACATCTAGCTGAGCTTTAAGTCTGAAAGTGCACCGTGTTTTAAACTATTGATTCTTTTATTAAATATTCGACTAAATAAGTCGAATAAATGAGCTGTTGGTGGAGTGAAGAGACAGTGATAAAGGCAATTTGGTGGATGGGGATGATTAGGAGGCCATGATGGGTAAGCGGCCGATTGAGGAACTTTGGTCAGGACACAGGGGTTACACCCCTACTCTTTTTACGAGAAGTGCCATGGGATTTTTAATGACCACAGAGAGTCAAGACCTCGGTTTAACGTCTCTTCCAAAAGACGGCGCCTACTGACAGTGTAGTGTTCCCTTCACTTTTACAGGGGCATTAAGACTCCCACAGACCACAAGTTGAGCACCCCCTGCTGGCCTCTCTAACACCACATCCAGTAGCAACCTAGTTTTCCCATGTGGTCACCAATTCAGGTACTGACCGAGCTCAGCCCTGCTTAGCTTCAGTGAGTAACCTGTCTTGGGGTGCAGGGTGATGTGGCTGTGATATGGGTGGTATTACGTGTAGTTATGTGTTAAATATGTGTTGATTGAGTGTTGTAATTGCTCTGCACGGCTTGTAATAACTTATCTATTATAGATGATAGTTTGTACTGTATCTCTCAGGTCAAATCATTATCAGCTATTTACATATTGCATGCAAAAACACATTGAAAACGCGACGTGTGCTTCTTCGTTTACCGATTTAAATGCGTTTCTGAACTCGCAATCCTCAGCTGTTTGTTGCTATGGCCATCATTAGCTGTTCCTCACCCATGCGGCGCGGTCAATTTGCAATGGGAATTTCTCTCTGTTTCGTGCTGAATCCTGTTGACCCATCACAGAAAACTGGGTCGTGTGTCCAATCAATGCAAAATAGCTTCGCGCTAAGGAGGGGTTTGGGAACAAATGAACCACTGAAGGAATCGTATGGGAGTCGTTGGGATAATTCGGTAAAAATAAATGTATATTATAAGACA